ATGGTCGGATTCTAGCCGTTGTTCAGTGCAATTTGGTTAATGATATTAAGTTCTTTGTTGTAATTTTCTGTTGAGAGTGGCGTATTAAGAAGTCTTTGTATAAAAGAGTAAAGTGCAGCCATTTTGTGTGTATAAACCTTCACACACGGACAGTCATACACAACTGCTCAAATCACCCTTATAAACACAAAATGGCTGCATTTCACTCTTTTATAAACAGACTTCTTAATACGCCACTCTCAATAGAAAATTACAACAAGGAACTTAATATTATTAAACAAATTGCACAGAAAAACGGCTACAATCCGTCCATTATAGATAAAATTATAAATAAAAAACAAATCCAGACAACAGTAAACTCTATTGATCCGAAACCTAATACAGAACACGAACAATTTAAAACAATTACATACATAGGAGAACCCAGTGAAAAAGTTTCAAAACATTTGTCAAAATGTGGTTTAAAAATAGCTTCCAGAACTAACAACACAATAGGAAATTTTCTTAAAAACAACAGAACGAAATTTCCAAAATCTCAAAAATCAGGTGTCTACAGGTGGAAATGCGGATCTTGTCCTAATATTTATATTGGACAAATAGGTAAATCCTTCAAAAAACGCATTAACGAACATAAAAGAGCGTTTAAAAACAATAGCCTAGATTCTAATTATGCTACACACTTAAACACAGAAGAACACATATTTTTAGTTCTTATTTATTTTGTAAAACCAACCAAGGAACATTCTTCTTCTTTACTGTTAGTGGCCAATTCTACTGTGGACGCTCATCCTTTGCCACATTACATAAGGATAATAAGACAAAAATCAAGCAAATACTAGACGGGATCAAGGAACGTCTAGCTATAACGATCTGAAAATTGTTTACACTCCGAAAAAATTCTTAATTTTTGGAGTTTTCACAGAAACGCAAGTCATACATAGGCAGTCCGTCTATTTGCTAATTATTTTTGTATCTAGACCTTTTAATTTTGGTAGCTTTTGACGAACTTTTTCCATAAATGTACGAAATCGTACACCAAAGATCATCAATGAACATAAATCAGCCAAATACGTGCATAAACAGGACAACAATCTCAGCAATCTACCTTTATGAATCTAAACTCCATTTTTGCTATGTATTGATTATTTTTTATATATAAAATTCCTAATTCAGGTTTGTTTTCGCAAACGTCAATGTCAGTTTTTTAACGATCTTCTACCAAATCGTAAACCAAAACTCACCAAAGATCATTCTTCTTCTTCTTAGCTGTAAGTGGCCACTTTTACTCTGGATGGTCGTCCTTTTCAAGGATTGTTCCTGAATCTCAATAGCACAATAATAATGAGCCGATCACATTTTTTTTTCATATATAGTGAAATCAATTAGTCAGTTTTCGCCAAGCAGAAGCAATAAGCTCCGAATTACAGAGTAAAAACAAAGCAGGAGGCAAGCAAATTGGTTACCAGGGAACGTAAGTCATGTATAACTAGTTGCTTAATCTAGCTAACGATCTAAACCTTGTTTATACGCCTAAACAAAGCGATTGCCAACCATATTTTACTGTTTTAACGTCCGTCTACATGCAAATTAATTTTTGTATCTAATATTCTTAATTTTGCGAGTTTTCACAGAAACCAATATATGTTTTTCACGGATTCCTGTACGTGTGAAAACACAGACCAAAGATAACCAAGGAACATAAGTCATAGGTAGACGTGTATAAACAGTTGCCTAATCCACCTTTAAGAATATGAACCCTGTTATACATTCCGAACCAAAGTAATTGCTACTGCCCGCCTACCTGTCAATTCTCTTTGTAGTTCAAATTCTTAAGTTTGGTTATTTTCAACGCCCATGCGTATTTTCAACTGACTTAATAAATCCTCCTATGTATGTAATTGTTTTAAATTGTTCGTGTTCTGTATTAGGTTTCGGATAAATAGAGTTTACTGTTGTCTGGATTTGTTTTTTATATATAATATAATTTTATATAAAAAATAGATACGTGTTGTCTGTCGTGTTGCTGCATGTTTTATTTTTAAACTTGTTGTGTGACTTTCAGGTACTGCTATGCATATAAAAGGTCAATAAACGCTATCCTATTCTATTCTATTCCATTATATAAATCGCGTCCAAATCCAAATCGCTCCGTTTACTATGGTCACCCCCTGGCACAGACAAAAGACTGGTGTAATTGGTATAATTTCGAATCCACGCAAGCACACACGCACATATACGCGGTCGTACGAAGGGAAATTGCAATTTGCCCCGGGGGGGTTTTTAGATATTATTCGATATTAAACCGAAATTGGAATGGAAATGTCTACGTAATAATTTTATTTTGCGCGCGAATCGAACGTTGTTTTTTTTTCGGCGGGGTAGGTAAACGAATTTTCCGGTTTTCGAGTATGGCTCCCGGCCTTTCCCGGGCATTTTCAAGTTGTCTGTCACCACAAAAGAAATTACCCGAAAATAGGTATTTTCTACTAATTTTTACGAACCAAAATAATCACTATTATTATTTATTATTATTATAGTTTTTAAATTTTGGTGATTTTGAAATAAGACAATTTTTTATTTAGGAATAGTTAAAATTAATTTATTAATATTATAATATTAATATATAATAATATTAATTATTAACTAATTAGTTAAATTAAAAATTAATAATATTATCATTATGGATAAATGCAACTTTATTTTCAGTAGATATTTACCAAAAAAATATAGACTTGAGGGTTTATACAGAAATATGAATGAAACAAAACTGACCCTTTGTACAGATCACGGTACAAAATAAAGTAAAAATATATAAAATGCTATACTATACTGAGTCATTAATCATTTTATTTGCATGTTCATTGAATTTCATTCGCGTTTTCTTACCAAGTGTGTATTTTATATGCATATATTAATAATATAATTTCTGTTTTTTCCAAGTTGATTTTATTAAAAGATTATTAATTTTTTTTTTAAAATATTTATTTCAAAATAAATTAGAACTGAAAGTTGAGATTTTCACGAAATTATAAATATTGTTATATTGATAAACATTTGATAAAGACACGGTGCTGTCAAAACAATTGTCATGTGAATATATATTATTTCGTGAAAGTTTGAACTTTCAGTACTTATTTATTTTGTTAAATGGATTTTCATCAAGTAAAAGCCACCTCAGTTCAATTTTAGACAATTTTTAATTTTGAAGTAGTCAATTATTAGTATTAGTGTTATTGACAATTATTTTATTTTCAGTAGATATTAACCATAAAAAGTGCGGTGTATATAAAGAAAACAAATTACACATATAAATGAAACAAATTTGATTCTTTTTATACAGTGCAGTTCAAATAGAACAAGAAAACAGGACAAACGAAAAATATGAATACAATTCTACACTGTACTGAATCATAAACAACAATTTATAAAATAAATTTTATGGTTTTTTTCTGGCAGTTTTTTTTCTCATTAAAAAAAATATTATAATTATTGCGAAAATTTTTAAAAATTGGTTAATAAGACTATTTTTGACTTATAGTAATAGTCATTTAGTAAAACTTGTTTTTTTACAAAAAGAAAAAAAATGAAATGTGTCAAATTCTTCTGAAAAAAGCAGATACATTGTTGTTGAAGTTGAAACTTCTTTAAATGAATGCGAAATTAATGTTACTATAATTGATATCAATTTTAAATTGATATTTACCAAAAGAAAGTGTTAAAAAAGTTAGTACATAGTAAGTGCAAATAAAAAAAAATACGACAAACGTAATTTACGAATAAAATGCTATACTGGTATCGAGTTACTAAAAGTGTTCTTTGAATGTCAACCAAATATCTTTAACGTCTTGTTGCTAAGTGAGGAATTTATATATAAATTTACATTATAAAATTTATGGTTTTTAGTGGTAGCTTTTATTCTAATTAAATAAATATTATTATGATTGTCATATTATTTTTTAATATTTTCCAAGAGGGCAATGTTTAATTTATTAGAAATATCTAATAATCATTTAAGACTCAGGTTTTACCAATAAAAAAATTTGAAATATGTCAATTTTTTCTGAAAATGCAAATTTTGCTTGTCTTTATCTTATGTTTTTTTTCTTGTAGTTTTTATTTTTTAAAAATATACGTTTTAGTGAAAAAGCAATGTTCACTTGTCTTTATGCTTCCGTTCATTGTTGATGTCTAAGCTTTCTTTAATACCTGATAAATTAATGTTACTATTCTAACAATAACTTTAATTTCAATGGGTACAATCCAAAGAAAAAGGAAAGTACACGCACTTTGTGGTTTTTTGTGGTAGTTTTTATTTTAAATAAATATTTATTATTATGATTATTATAAAAAATAGTTAACAATTATTTAATGACACTTATTTTTTAACAAGCAAAAAATCAGAAATGTCTCAAATTTTTCAGAAAACGCAAAGTTCCCTTGTCTCTGGGCTTCTGTTAGTTACCGATGCCTTAGTTTTCTTAAATACCAATTCCACTAAGAGAACTAAAGGAATTTTATGGTTTTTTCTGATAGATTGTATTGTACGTATTATACAAATTTTGAATATTTTCGAATATGACAATTTTTAATTTAGAAATAGCTAATAATCAATTAATAATACATATTTAAAAAAAACAAATTCAGAAATGTTCGCTTGTCTTTATGTTTCTGTTCATTGTTAATGTCTGTATTCAACGGGTATAATTCAAAATATATATAGAAATGGTTGTTTTTATTCTAAATAAAGTAAATGTTATTGATTATTATAAAAAAATTGTACAAAAGGTTCCCAATACCAATCTATATCAACAATTTAGGCCAATAATTACCGATCCTTTTATGAGAAGGTTCTTGAGCTTGTGGTGAAACAGCAGCTGCAAATATCGGCAGATATTTACAAAAATAAATGTACGAAATTCCTTTGGGTTGATAAGGAAAACATATGACACGTATAAATGCGCCAAAATCGACCCTTATTGATGTAAGATGTACGCGTTTACCTTAAATTCTCTATTCGGACGGCCCAGGGACGAAATTACAAAGCAGAGACTCCGAATTGGTAACTCAAAGGGCAGTTTGGATACACCGAACCGCGAACCTTGCCTCGCCAGACGATCGAAGCTTTGCAAATAGCGAGAAACTCAACAAAACACCAAACAAACGAACTGTAATCCAAAGACAGGCGAAATACCCGTTAGTAAGCGGTAACCGTCTCCGTTGTAAATTTTATACGAGACCGTCGTGACCCCCGACTATGAGAGAAGAGAAACGGTAAGTAACGTGTGCCTACGTCGCGTACGAAGCGAGGAGGAAAGTCTTTAAAAGGTTCCCCGACCTTGGCGCGCGTAAACCGAGTCAAGGTCGCGGGAATCGAAGTCCGGATCTGGACCATCGCGGATATCTGCAAGGCGAACCGCCCGTACCTGCGACCTCGCGCGCGACATTGAGGTCGGAGGCGGGAAAACGTACATGTGCATGTACATTTGCAATTAGTTACCTATCTTAATAAAATAAATAAGAACTAAAAGTTCAAGAAATTATACCTATATTTTCATATTTCGCATTCCTTCTCAAATTTAATATTTACAAACTAAAGTCTGTTCATAGATATAAGAAAGTGATTAACTGATACGAATAGGTCCGTACGATGCTTAGAATTTAATTATTTGGGGTTTTGTTATCAAAGATACTAAATAATATTTATTTATTTATTTATGTGTTTATGCTTAAATATAAAGTAAAATTACAAATTATTTTTATTACCTACTTAAATTACTTAAAATTATTCACATAATGTTTCAGTATCACTATCACTATCATCGCCTGTTCTAATTATTATTGGTTCTATATTATTTGCAATATGGATATACTATTGTTCTGCTTTTTCTATATGTTTAACAGAATTTGCCCAACTTTGTGGAGGGATGTTAAAAACTTCGGTTTCTATAAGTTTGAGGACATTGGAGTTAACACGGGGAAAAGCATTCTTACGACTAATGGCAGATTTCAGCTGGTGCCAAACATGTTCAATAGGATTAAATATACAGTGGTAGCCTTAAGACTGTATGCCCTAGATTTTTTGCACAATTATCAGAGACGTATTCCTTTTGTAGGTGCAAGCTTTATAGAACCTCAATTAATTGCTTTTTGGTATAATCTTCGTGAAAATAAATGTCGTTATTATACATGTAGTTTTGGATTGTTGCTTTTGTGTCACATGAGGAAGGGGTTTTAGTCAACTGTCTACTGTCATAACTTGCATTGTCCATTACAATTACGCTATTACGAGAAAAGTTTTGTAACTAATTTGTTTTTGAACCAACTTTTAAATAAATCAGCGGTGGTGCCTTCATGGTAATCCAGAGAAGAACTTTTAATATTTTACGCAGACAGATAAAGTCAATTTAGAATCCAACCATCTTTAGAGTCAGCATGCAAAATAGTTATTCTTTCACCTCTTTTTGGTGGCGCGTTTGTTTTACACTTATCAGTTGAGTCAACCCAATCCTTTTCCGGGGTATCATAAGTGTCGAACCAGGTTTCATCCAAGTAAATTATTGGCCTTTGTTGTTCTCTGTAAATCCCAGTCGCCATTTCCTAATTCTAAAAGATTCCATTAAAACTTGCCTTTAGTCAATTTTTTTAAATCTAAAACCCATGTGTTTTTCATTTTTTTCAAGCCTCCTAATTAAGATATCTAATGTAGGCACGCTTTGTTCCTCGAATAACTCATAAATTTTACGCCGTATCTACACTCGAGAAAATATCAGCATCGATTCGTTTTTTCCTCTCTGAAATGGGATTATTCGCAATTTTCCATACAGTTGATGTTGGAATTTTCGTCAATGTGGCCGTTTCTTCTAAAGATGCTTGCTTGCTGGCACCACGTTCAATAAGAGTCAAATAAACATTGTTTATAACTTCCTGAGTCTCAATAGAATAGTGTTTTCTACATTTGGGCGGGAGCATCTCCTGAGATACACTAGACTCGCACATATTTTGCATAATCCTCACACGATTCAACACACGCTGTATTACACACGAAATAAGAATGATTACTAATAACCTTAAACTAAGTAGTATACCAAACCAAAGAATATTAAACACAGGTAGGTATAAAATTATTTTCTATTACGGATCACAATTTTACCTGAATTAAAATTCCGAAACTTTAGGTAATAATCTTGTCGCATTAATGCATAAATGAGCACCCTTGGATAATCCCATATATCTATGAACAGACCATACCTGCTACTGTATATACCGGAAAATGACAACAAAACCTGTTGTGAGAATTTAAGTTTAATAATGGGGAGGTATTTAAATCTAATTGATCGTTAAGTAATACATTTGAATGTCTCATTTTGTTAGTCTCCGTGGTTTCCAATAAATTTAATTTTCTACTTTTTGCGGCTGTAATTCAAAATTGTAGTCGAAAATGTGTTTTTCTGTGTTTAAGAGTGCAGCATATTTGGAATCTGGACTATTATTTTTAAACGCTCTTTTATGTTCATTAATGCGTTTCTCGAAGAATCTAACTGTTGTCTATCATTCATAAAATGTTTCTTAGACCAAAACTAAAGTTAGACAAATTAATTTCTAATACAAAGCAAGCCAGTTATTACAAAGTATACCGAGCACCAATTTTACAACAGGTTCATAAACTTAACAGTTGAATTTCTGGACATCATTTCAAAGCAATCCTAAGTGGCCCTTTAATGGCCAGGGTGAATCTCTGGGACAACGTCAGATTCTTTCTAGATTGCGAGATAGTAATTAAATTATTTTTGTTGTATATGGTTTTTGGGAGTTCCCTTACAATATTTCCGTGCTTACTTACCCAACATGTCCAGAAGAATATGCTTTTTAATTAAGATAAGTAACAAACTGGTCCACTGTAATATTTCAAATTCAAAATTACCTCATTTCCTTAACGAATGGCTCAATCGGACAATGCATTACCCAAAAATAACCTCTTAATTATGGACACGCAATTAGAAAACGCCCTGTATAATTAGGTAAAAGCTTGTGGGAGAAATCGCATTGGCAGCACAGTATTTGCAACTTTTGTCTATGCACCGACTTCATTCAGACAGCGCCCTCTCGCGGGCGAAAATGCAAAACATCCCCCGCCGAGAAATCCCTCCGTCGCGTTCCCTCATAATATATTCCATTACTCTCGTTCGCGCGAAATCTCTCCTCGAGGCGACAACATCATAATTTGTTCGCTCGAAACCCGAGACGAGAGAATTCGTCGAGCCAAATTTATTACCACCGTTATCGTTCTCCGACTACGCCACTGTCCGGGGATGGGGCGGCGATTATTATTAATTATTGTTCTTCTTTTTTCACTATTTATGCACCTGGAACGCAGTCAATTTGGCCAGCTTCGCGGTGAGTGCTGATGGACTTATTGGGTTCCCAAAGGATGCCTCTGTGAGGAGGGTTTGGGGCATCATATCATCCCCCGTCGATCCCTGTGGAGGTAAAAATCAAAAGAAGTGTGAAAACAAATTTAGTCGACCAAGAAATGGCTACAAATTCAAACCTTGTTGGATAAACCATACCATACCAACTAAATAAACCATATAAGACTTGAGAATTGTCCTGATGGAGTCAAGACCAAGCCTTAGTAGGCGGCCCATCAAAGTCCCTATATGTTGTACCCCAAGTCTTCCAAATATCACCTTTAACTTGAGGGAAGAACCATCTAAAATATAATTTTCAATAGATAATAGATTCCAGTGTTCTTGTTTTGACTCGTTAAAGTCAGGATCTCCATTTCGTCATCCAATTCCAATTTTGAAGTGAACGTTATCGCCATGAATCCAATGAAACCAACAGCCAAAACAAATAGACACTTCAACGAGAAATCCTTGAGCAATCCGAATGTCGTTTCTAGTACAGAAAACTCAACTTCAAAAAAGCAGCAAGAATCTTATGAGCATTTTTTATTGAATAGGTTCAAAAATTCCCTTGAATTGTCATAATTTCTCCGCAACTGAAGATCATGTAGATGAGCTGATGTCAAAACAGTGGACAGACAGTTGTTTTCGGACTACATTATTCTCTTTCTTCATCTTCTTGTTTTATGACTTGTTTGGTAGATGCAAGAATACAAACGCTTTTGTGATTTGTTACTAGTTTCTCTCTCTGTCCTCATAACGAATGAGTTAAAAAATAAACATATCTGAGACAACCAAAGAGAGGAAGAACTTCTTGGTTCAAGAATTTGGAGTAGAATTACTTGGGTGTTGAGTTATTCCGTTCAAAAGTCAACCGGACAATACTATTTGAAAGTCTTCTTGCAGACGTTTCGCCAATCATCCTGTTGGCTTCTTCAGAGCTTAACTGCAACTGGTTTACTTTCAACTATGTGCCTGATAATAGGAACATGAAAATGATGATTCCCAAGCAGACGCAGAGTAGAATTCAGACCAGCTTCAGTTGAGTTCTCTGAAGAGGTCAAGAGGACGAGTCAGCAAGAAGATTTGTAAGTAATAAAAATATTATTATTCCTATTGTTTTTTTTTGCGATATTTATTATTTATTTTTATTTATTGATGAATTTTTCGAAAGTACCTGCGCTCGTATAAAAATTTTATATCTTGGTAACGGTAAGTCCTAGGGGATCGCCGCTGCTACAGAAATGATCACGGTCGAATAAATTTTTTTTGTCTGTCCGTTCTCCGTTCTCCGTTCTCGTCTTTTGGTTTTCCCTGAATAACTTTCGAACCTTTGGAGTTGTAAAATTGAAATTTTCCTCCTTTTTAACCCTCCACGAGGCACATAAGTTTGTAAGAAATGGCCCTGATCCGACGCCGGTATCAATCTTTTTTTCGCGATTTTCGACTGTCTTTTGGATCTTGCTATGAAACACGATTAGGGTCCTCAATTTGAAGCAATCAACTTCATATGTGGCACATATATGCCACTTTGCCTCTTAACGGAACCTATTGAAAATAGGGGACTGGGAGGTGGGGAAGTATTCTAAAAAAATTAAAAATAGCGCGTGTAGGGGTCTACAAAAAACATCATTTTTCAAAAACTGTTTACGAGACCAGAAAAATTATGAAACCAGAAGAAGCAGAAGATACGGTTCTGGCCCGAAAACCATTCACTATTTTCAAAAAATTCTTGAACCAGGACGCGTTGAAAGTCCAGAGCTATAACCTCTACTTCGAACAATGATTGTGTCATATACAGGGTGTGTCGTTTATGGGAAAAAATCTAAAATATCCTAAAAATTTCCGTTTTTATGCCTAAATTATTGGCGATAAATGAAAAACCGTTTAAAATGGGATAATTTTATTTGAACAGTATCGTAAACCGTGTCGTGAGAGAGTTTCAGGTTTCGTCAATTATATAGGGCGCGAGATATTTGAAGTTCGACGAAGAAAACCCATGCAGAGGATTTTAAAGTATGAAACAGGTATGAAAGGTGTTGCTAAGAAGAAAAATGCGAACTTACTACTAGACTCTAAAAGAGATTGAGGAAAGCGATTAAAGGATTAAAACAAGAAGGAGAATGATAGCAATCTAAGCCTCTACTTTACAAATGGTAATCTGGAAAAATCAGGAAAATATAAAGCCGTAGAAAGGAATACTGCGATGAGATGGAAACTAGATGAAGAAAAAAGGAAACCATTGAGGTGGAAGAGTATAAGTATCCCGAAAAGCCGAGGTGAAAGTATACAGAGCTCCATTGCTACTTCGGAAGATTGGTGGTTGAAGGAAAGTGCGTGAAGAATGAGCAAGAAGAACAAACAATGAACTAAAAGACCTCTTAGATGAACCAAGGAAGACAAAGACCAAGATGGAAATGGACATAGCCTTGATGGGGATATCCTTCTTGGTCTTGGTTTAATATTGTCGCATCGTTGTCGGTTTCTAAGATGTTACGCAATCAAATTTTGTGTGACGCGCTTTTTAACTGGCCGTACGGTTCAAACTTAAGCGTATGTTAATAGGCTGGGAAACCGCGGCTGCTTCAACATCTCCATTCGGCGTCGGGTTGGGTATTATTTCAACAAATACCTTCCTAGTATGTTGCAACCACGTTCAAGTTTCCTAGCGCATACAAGGCTTTCGCATAGATAAAGACCGTTTCATATTCGGACACCAGTACAGTTTCGCCCGTATTATCCCATGCATAAAAAAAAATAAAAAATTCTCTTTTGCTCCGAAATTGTTTATTTTGTTGCACGTAAGCATAAATACATACATAAATATACAAAAGAAAATATTATTTTTAGCATAAATTTACAAGGAATGGAATGCTACAATACAGAAGAATACGCAAATCCAAATAATACATACGGGTTTCATTATTATTGTAATCATTTATCACGATCTCCTCCATAGCCGCCTCCAATTCCTTTTGCATCAAATACCTATTACGAACTGTAACGTTCACTACACAACGCACAAAGTAATACTAAAGAACACGCTAATTGTTGGATGTTTATTGCACATGTGCTGACTTGTCTAGACTTGCCCTAACACACATTTTCAACCCCACCGGATTTCCAGTCTCAAGACCCAAAACCACATCTCCCACAACCTTACTTATCACTTGTATGGTATGGTATAGTATGGCTTGCCAGAAGAGCTTCGTTGGGACAAGACAACAATAATTATTAATACTTTTTGATGAACGTATTTTTACCTAAACATAAATGTTGAAATTAAATATAGGACCATGTGTTTTGGTGGAATATTACGAAGTCTGTTCACAGATGTAAGAGAGTGACTAGCTGATACGAATTAAGAAAAGACCCAGGCAAGCTGTAAGAATGAAATATGGCCGAACAGGTCCGTACTTTGCTTAGAATTTTTTGTGGTTTTGTTAGGAAAGGTACTAAACAATATTTATTTATTTATGTATGTATTTATATTAAAATCTAAAATAAAATTACAAATTATATTATAATAATATATCAGTATCACTATCGCTATCATCGCCTGTTCTAATTATTATTTGTTCTATATTTTTTGCAATGCGGATATACGATTGTTCTGCTTTTTCTATATGTTTAACAGAATTTGCCCAACTTTGTGGAGAGATGTAAAAAACATCGGTTTCTATAAGTTTGAGGACATTGGAGTTAACACGGGGAAAACATTGTTACGACGAATGACAGATTTCAGTTGGTGCCAAACATGTTCAATGGGATTAAATATACAGTGGTAAGGTGAAAGCCTTAAAACTGTATGCCCTAGATTTTTTGCATAATTATCAGCTTTTGTGTCACTTTAGTCAACTGTCTGCTGTGATAACTCGCATTGTCTATTACAATTACGCTATTAGGAGGAATGTTTGGAACTAGTTTGTTTTTAAACCAACTTTCAAATAAATCAGCGGTGGTGTCTTCATGGTAATCCAGTGAAGAACTTTTAATATTTTACGCAGACAGAGAAAGTCAATTTGGAATCCAACCATCTTTAGAGTCAGCATGCAAAATAGTTATTCTTTCACCTCTTTTTGGTGGCGCATTTGTTTTACACTTATTAGTTGAGTCTACCCAACCCTTTTCCGTTTCTTCTAAAGATGTTTGCTTTTTGGCAACACAATCCTATTCAAAGGCAATTGGTCACTTTCTTATATCTATGAACAGACCGTACCCGCATTTTTTGTAATGTAGCGTCCGCCAAGGAAAGTGAACTTCGCAGGTGAGACGGCCTATACCGAGCAACGAAACTCCTGTGAAAGTAAATCGTTGAGGCCTGACTGTTAAAAACCGTAACCGGCGTTGCCGAACGTGGCAGATGTTTGACGAATTTTACGAGCTACGTTTGCCGAAGAGATTTCGACGCGGCGCGCGTCTGCAATTCCAACTTTTGACTGGAAACGAGCAAACGACGCGGTTGTCGAACTTATCCGTTATCCGAGACCTAATTGGAGGCGAGAGTTTCTAATCTGCAGCGATTCGTAACGTCTGGATGTTTGCGTTGCTAAAGTCACAACCCGGCGTTTGGTGGCGAATTCGAGGGATCTCGATTAGATTATAGAGTGCCTGTTTCTGACATTTTCCTCTATTTTCCGCCTCCTGGATATTAGCGTTATGAACGCGTCTCTCGACGTTTGGTACGGTCCTGAATAGGTACAGGAACGGGTTTAGGATTGTCACTGTCATTGTCATTGTGTTTTCTAACAATTCATATGAACAAATTCGCTAAACGTCTTAACTTTAGAGATACACTGTGAAAAAAATTTTCAAAAATAAAATATATTTTAATGAAATTTGGCACACTGATTTCGCTTAAAATAAAAATTATTTTGCAATCTCCAATAATTCCAAAAGAAATTTAATTTCTAGATATTCGGTTTTCGCTTTAAAAAATAAGAACCTCTTCTCCGCGTTGTCGTAACGATGTCGTTAATATGACAGCATACGAATAAATTAGTTATTATTATTATTTCTCACGGTTGTGTTTTAATCGTCTCTAATACACTTTGACCAGTTGTTTTCATTCGGTTTTAGTTCATCCCTCAAGAAATAAGAAGTCAACAAAAAAATTGACCAAATATTGAGTGTTAAAGGAAAAGGTGCTTTATATTTTCTTTGCTTTTAACCTCTAATCTCTTATTTTTCTTTAGTCCGTCACACTAATAAAAACTAATTTATCTTCATACTGTGTATATATATATACAGTATGAGGAAAAATTAGTTTTTTTTAGTGTGACGGACTAAAGGAAATATCTACTTGACCCCACACTTTGACTACTTTTTACATAAATTAAATATTTCTTTTCGTTCTGGACTTATTGGAGTGCGGAAAAAAAAAAAAAAAAAATATATATATATATATATATATATATATATATATATATATATATATATATATATATATATATATATATATATATATATATATATATATATATATATATATATATATATATATATATATATATATATATATATATATATATATATATATATATATATATATATATATATATATATATATATATATATATATATATATATATGATGACACTATATTCCGGGATATCATCCGTTCGCTCGTTGAACTCCGACTGGAATCCTGCATCCGACTGGAATCCTGCAAATCTTGCATCCGACTGGAATCCTGCAAATCTTGCATCCGACTGGAATCCTGCAGGAACTATGTGTATTGATGGTAATTTGGGTGTTCATCCGTTCGTTGTTTGTCCCTGGAGTAGGATAATTCGCCTGACGTTTCGCCAAAATATCACTTGGCATCTTCAGAGGCCGCGCGTCCACGTCACTCGTGCGTGTCCTCGCTTAAACTGAGGTGAAAATGTGCGGTGCGGCGCTTTTTATAATCTCGGTCCCCTCCGCCGTAAATTGTATCGCGGCGGGGTGGGGGACACGGTTGCCGCGACTAGTGGTGCCACCTCGCTATCGGTTCGACTTGATTGCGCCGCGGTGGTTGGCGCTTCCTCGCTATTGGTGGAAACAATAGGTGGAAACACGCTGTTAGTGTGGTTCAGTACCACTTTCC